AGCTTTAGTAGAAATCCATCTAGACTGCAAGCATGAGCAGTGCCAGCTTCCTCTATGCTTGATTTCAAAGTTGACCACAAATGCCAGAGCTTTATCACCCTCTAACCATGATTGCCCAGTGTGGTCTTAATTCTGGTAACCACAGGAAAGAACCTTCCGGTCAGAAGTTGAAGTACAATGTTAGCAACTGAAGGATAGCTGCCTGTCCTCCTGCTAACAACTTCGTCAGAAAAGTGTTCGGGGCGGGGGGGATGTAGCTCAGTGGCAAAGCGCTTGCCTAGCAAGTACAATGTCCTGGGTTCGATCCTTAGTACCAAAAAAGAAAAGACAGAAAAAAAAAAGAAAAGTGTTCGGGTAGAAACTCAATTATATAATTCCACCCAGGAAGCAACTGAAAATCCCTCCCCCACCAAAAAAAAATCCCAAACTCTACAATCTGGGCTCCCATGTTGTATTTCTGTAGGGGTCAATTTGTAATTCTTTCCCCCAGGCTTCCTATGACCTAGTTTCCTTAAGTCCACTAAATCTAAGAAAGGGAAACATGAGGGTGTGATGTGTGTGTGTGTGTGTGTGTGTGTGTGTGTGTCTGTAATTTTGAGGATTTAACATAAATTCTTGTGGGTGGCAAGGAAATGCTCTACTACTGGGTGCTAAGCCACCAATTCTGCAGACATAGCTTTAATAATCTTACAATGTAAAAAAAAAATAGAGTGCATGGCCAGATCATGCGAAGATTTAAATAGTAGATTCAAACATTTAATGTTGCTGGGTGCTCATACCTGTAATCATAGCTACTCAGGAAGCTGAAATCTGAGGATCCCAGGTTAAAGCCAGCCTGAGTAGACAAATCTGAGAGACTATTACAGTTAACCAGAAAAAAAAATCCCAAAGTGGAAGTTTTACTCATGTTGTAGAACTCCAGCCTTGAGCAAGTAAGTTGAGTTCCAATCATGTTTGGCCCTGAATTCAAGCCCCAGAACTGGCACGAAAACAAACAAATGTACTGACTAAATGTATTAGTTAGGAAGGAATGAATTGCTAAATGAAATAAAGGAGGATGTGATTGATGCAGATAAAAATGGAAGAAATGAGCCAGGTACCAGTGGCTCACACCTGTAATCATAGCTAGTCAGGAGGCTAAGAACTCTGAAGCCAGACTGGGCAGGAAGGTCTGTGAGACTCTTAGTTCCAGTTAAACACCAAAAAAGCCTGTGGCTCAAGTAGTAGAGAGCTAGCCGTGGGAGAGTCCCTAGTCCCTGAATTCAAGCCTCAGGACCAGCACCCTCCCCCCCCAAAAAAAATAAATGAAAATTAATTTAAGAACCATGCAGAGTATAATTTGAGACATTCTTTTAGAAAGAAATACACTTCTGGAAAAATATACTCGGAAACAATACTAGATGTTAATAAATGAGTAAATTGTAGATATTAATAAGGAGGGGGAAGGAAATGGGAATGAAAGGAAGAAAAGGAGAAATAGGAGGGAATAAAAGAAAGGACAAAAAGTAGAAATAAATCCAAGTAGAGAAAAATCCATGGGCTATAGATATAGTGTTGATGCTAAGTGTCAGTGTGCAAAAGACCTTACTATCAAACTTTAGTAATGAACAAGGTGGGGGGGAGAAGGAGGGAGGGAAGAGAGAAAGAGAAGGAAGGAAGGGAAGGAAAAGAAAGAGAAGAGCTGGGAAGGTGGCTCAGTGGTAGAGTGCTTGCCTCGCATGCATGAGGCCCTGGGTTCGATTCCTTGGTAACCACATAAGCAGAAAAAGCCAGAAGTAGCGCTGTGGCTCAAGTGGTAGAGGGCTAGCTTTAAGCTGAAGAGCTGAGGGAAGAGCGCCTAGGCCCAGAGTTCAGGCCCCAGGCCCCACCCCTCACCCCCAAAAAAAAGAAAGAAAAAAAAGGAAGAGGGAGGCCTAGAGGAAAAGGACAGGGAAAGAAAGAAAGGTGAAGGAAGAGGGAGAAGGAAGGAGAATAAGTTAAGAAATGCGATGAGGATAGCAGTTGTGAGCATCCCAAGTCCAAAAATATGAAATCATCAACGTTTTTAAAAGTTGCAAGTTTTGAGAACTCACATGACACCACAAGTGGAACATTTCCCATCTGACCTCATGGGATGGATGGCTATCAAAAGCCGTGTACAAAAATATTGCATGAAATCACTTCACCAGGCATATGTGAAACCAATAGTATGTTCAGACATGGTCCTATCCCATATGCAAATATTCCAAACTCTGAGAAAAATCGGAAACATTTCTGATCCCAAGCATTGTGGGCAGGGGATAGGCAGCCTGGATGCATACAATCAGTTTGAGTACTCCAGAAATATAAACAAACAAAAAAAAGAAGGGAGTAACAATTCTGGAAGAATTGTACTCATGACCTTACTCATGTAACTGTAACCCCTCTGTCCAGCATCTTTACAATAGAATAAAATTTTTAAAAGTAAAAAAAAAACAAAATTAAATATAATAATTTTTAAAAAGCAAAAAAAAATATTTAAAATTTTCTGGTACAAGTGGCAGTCTCAAGACAGCACGTTTATGAAGCTGTGAAGCCAGGCATGTTGATGCATTCCTGTAATCCCAGCATTTGGGAGACTGGGGCAGGAGGATCAGGAGTCGGAAGCCAGGTTGAGTAGCAAGATGTTGACTTACAACAAAGCAACAACAAAAAGGCAAAAACAAAACCAGTCAGCAACAACAAAAAAGAAAGTGTGAACTTGAGGAAACCCAAGAAGGGCTCAAATCCACATCAGCACAGACCAGCTCAGAAGCAGACACATGTGTATTCCTGATTTGGAGACTCCGGCAATGACTTTTTTTTCTTTTTTTAGTGGATGGGCTGTAAGAATATGAGATTTGGATTTGTTCCGTGTAGGTCTGTTTTATTCAATACTTACGAAACAGCCAAGCAATATGTTGTCAATCATACCCTCAGGCATCTAAAAATGACTCCTAGATATTTTATGGAATGTAGGCTTAAGAAATTGGGGAGGGGCCAGGTATAGGTGCCTCCTATCTCTAATCCTAGCTACTCAGAAGGCTGAGATCTGAGGATCATGGTTCAAAGTCAGCCCAAGCAGAAAAGTCCAGGAGACTCTTAACTCCCACCAAAAAGCTGGACTGGAGGTGTAGCTCAAGTGGTAGAGCACCAGGTGTGAGAGACTCCAAGGCACCAAATTGAAGCCCTGATAAGGATAACATGGGAGGAGTAATATAGACTAATTCTTTTAAAGACAAAGCTAATCACATGAGCAGCTTTTCAACATGACCACAGAGTGATTATTTCAGCAGGAATCCTCAGATCTCAGCTTCCTGAGTAGCTAGGATTTCTGGCGTGGGTCACTGATGCCTGATCAAAAATACAGTTTTTATAGGAAGAATAGGTTTTCAATGTGTTGTGGGCTGGGAAGGTGGCTCAGAGGTAAAATGCTTGCCTTGCATGCATGAGGCCCTGGGTTTGATTCCTCAGCACCACATAAGCAGAAAAAGCTGGAAGTGGTGTTATGGCTCAAGTGATAGAGCGCTAGCCTTGAGCTGAAGAGCTGAGGGACAGCGCTCAAGCCCACAGTTCAGGCCCAGGCCTGACCAAAAAAATGTGCTGTGCATGGCCCTAGTGGCTCACACATATAATCCTAGCTACTCAGCAGGCTGAGATCTGAAGATTGTGGTTTGAAGCCAGCCAGGGCAAGAAAGTCAGAGAGATTCTTTTCTCCAGTTAACCACCAGAAGACTGGAAGTGGTGCTGTGGCTCCAAGTGGTAGAGCACTAACCTTATGCAAAAGAGCTCAGGCACAGAGCCCAGGCCACGAGTTCAAGACCCATGACTGAAATAAGTGTTACATTAAGTAGTCGTAACCCCAAGAAACGATCCCTGTTGGAGGGTATGCTAGTTACTCAGATGATAGCATTATACATTGCATGCATATATTGAGATCTACTGTTCCCTATCAGTGTGTACAATTAGTGTGTCGTTTAACAAAAACACTTTTAATGTACTAATGATGCTGTAAGTCTATTATTGGCCCTCCCCTAAGGTTCAAATTTCACACGGCTTTCTGTAAGTACATCCTGCTCTCTTCCTTATTACGCAAACACACAGATTTGGTAAGGAAGGGACCCCATCCATCTTGATTGGTATTTCTCAGCATTCCAACCTGACATTCCCCTTCAGGGTTTACACGTGTGTGTGTGTGTGTGTGTGTGTGTGTGTGTGTGTGTTTAGACAATCCCAACTGTTTCTCTCACGCATTCCTAGAGAACCCAAGTTCCCAGGCCCACCTGCCCCTTGCATTAGCTTGATTTGGGATGTACCCAGATGACAGTTTCCTAAAAGTAGACTTCATCCTCCCTTGTATTGACACCTATCCAGCTCTCCTTGGTCATCCCCTCTTTCTGATGTGGTGGCTGGTGCCTTTCCTTAGCCCTACACCAGAAATCTCGCTCTCTCTCTCTCTCTCTCTCTGCTGGGCTGAGCAG